CCCCGAAGCCTCGCCGCTGCGTCCGGGGGACGGGGCTGGTTCGCCGCGCGAACGTGGCCGACGACGTCCGAGAGCCCCGGGCGCAGCATCCGACGCTCGTGGATGGCTTCCTTGCCATTCATGCGTTTATTTACCAACAGACGAGATAGCTCGATAACATGGGATCCTTGCAACATCGTCGATCAATATTATCGCGGAATTGTTTTCGTCAGAAAAATTTATTATCTTATTGACGATTTTAATTTTCTTCGATATCGCGTATTGTATTAGTGTCGGTTATTAGTTTCCTTCTGTGGACGACAAAGTTATTACGCAATAATTATTCTTTTATCTTTCCTTATTCGTTGATACCGTTGGAATTTATTACCGTTATCAAATGGAAATTAATTAATTATGTGGAGCAAATTTTGTATATTTGAAAGATAGAAGGGTTCTTTATATGAGAATAAATAACAATAAGCAAAGTAAGAGTCAATAATCAAATAAAATAAAAGTAACGTCTAGTATCATAAATATAAAACATATAATTGATTGGAAATTTTGTATATCAATTTTCTTGTAAGAGAGAGAACAAATATTTATAACTCTCGACTACACCTATGAAAATTACACCTAAGGTCTAAAGCATTCTCTTTGAAATTAGAATACAAGTGAACCTCATCTTACGGTTCTTGACAAAAAAAAGTTCTTTATCTATAATTTAGAGCCTTATAATATCAATCATACAAATTGTGCAAAATTTTTGCGTTGAATCGAAATTTACTAGTGTAGTCGAGGGTGAGGAGAATAGAATTCTCTTTAGTTAAATTTCTTGCACTATTTTTTCCTTTTCTTTCCAACATGGAGAGAAAAAGGAGGAAAGGTAAATTGTGCAAGAAGTTCAGCTGATAGGGAGAAAATCAAATTACAATCTTTTTCTGTAGTGAAAAAGGAATCTTGTCAAACATAAGATTACTAACTATAACTTTCTTTGCAGGATGCTCACAATTGTTGCATAGGTTTTGATGAAAACGTTTCGTTGTTCGCCGTATACGACGGTCATGGAGGACACGAGGTTGCTACGTATTGCGCACGTAATCTCCCTGATTTTATCAAACAGACAGAAGCTTATAAAACAAGCGATATTAGACAAGCTTTAATAGATGCTTTCCTCGGTTTCGACGAAACTCTTACGAAACCGGAGGTAGTCAATGTTCTCAAAGAGCTCGCAGGGACGTCTACATCAGAGAAAAAGGAGAATGACTCGAACGAATCTGGTGCGTTTTTTTTCATATTAAGGATATGCATTATTACGGGATTTACCTTTATACAGACACTGTTGCTAGTTATATGTTTTGCAAGCTCTAATTTATTTTTTCTCTTTATCTGCACGAGTAAATTCTTAATAAGATTATCTTCGTACGTTACATTGCGTATAGATGAAGAAGAGAATGTTAATAATCTGTGTATGGAGGCGACAATGCCATTGGAGCAAGTAATGGCAAAATATCAGTCAGAGGTATCGAATCCTCATCTAAAAAATCTGAAAGGCGAAAAATGTGGTAAACGCGCATTTGCGAGTCCTTTTTTGCGAGGTCGGAGAGGACGAGAGAAAGCAAGTGGTTCATCCTCTGGCGCAGGATGTTCATCGTCGCCGTCACCGCCACCAACATCGTCGTCGTCTTCATCTTCGTCCGGTTGGAATACGAACGAAACAGACGTAAGTAGTTCCAGCCAGCCGTGTGGATCAGCTCTGTCTAGCACAGTGGAGCGAAAAGATTCCGATGGTCCGGGAAGTAATGAAGCTGAGCAAGTACTGGATTCGACAACGAGCAACGGCAGCGCTCATGCATCCCCACCAGTGGTATCTACTGAGGATGTAGAAACTGCTAAATCTATGGATATGCCCGATAGCTCTGAAGATGTAAAAGAGAAAGTATCGAGTCCGGGCAAGACACCACCGTGCGCGGAGTCTAATGCGAATGAGGTGGAAGTTAATGGCGCAGAATCGAAGAGGATCGGAGATGCAGACAGCAGTAAAGGTGGAGGAGACAATGTGTCGAGCAGTTCTTGTATCCCTGTGGAAAACGGAGATGCGGGTCAACAAGAACGGATAACTAGCAGTGGTCGAAGAAGAATTCAGCCTGTGGATCTTTATCAAAGTCTACTGAAAAAGGACAGTGATGATTCTGAGGAAGACGATGATGATGATGAAAATGATGAAACCTTTGATGGTGTCCCTGAAAGGTATAAATGTATACATATTGTTTGTTGTAAGAACGCTTAATTTTTAAGAGCATTTCTTTTAAATCAAGATTTCCTCTTTTAAATCGTTTTACAGTGACGGTGATGATACGGAAGATGTTGATGAGGATGAAAGTGACGAAGATGACGATGATGAAGTAGAAGAGGAAGATATAGATGATTCTGACGATGATACTGATGATCTCATGGTGAACACTGAAAAGGTACAATATCAATTTTATTACAGAATTTATTGAATATTTAGAGAGACTTCTGCACTAATTTTACTGGAACTCCATTTTTTGTAATCCATAATTCTAATTAGTGCGGCTCTTTTCCTTATTGAATTTGTCTAATGTATAATGGCTTTTTTGTGTAGCCCGGTGCGGACAGTGGATGCACAGCAGTTGTAGCGATACTCAAGGAAAACGAATTGTATGTGGCTAATGCTGGAGATTCTCGGTGTGTTCTATGCAGGGATGGCCAGGCAATCGAACTTAGTCTGGACCATAAACCCGAAGACGCACCAGAAATGGAACGTATAGTAAAAGCAGGTGGAGAGGTGACAAACGACGGCAGAGTGAATGGCGGCCTCAATCTTTCCAGAGCGCTCGGTGATCATGCGTATAAGCAAAACATGGTATTACCACCCCAGGAACAAATGATCTCGGCTCTGCCGGACATAAGGCATATTACAATCGATCCAGAGAAAGACGAATTTATGATACTAGCTTGCGATGGCATATGGAACTTTATGACCAGTCAAAACGTCGTTCAGTTTGTGCGCACCCGTTTATCACAAAATTACGAAAACATTTCGAAAATCTGCGAAGAGGTATTGACGTTACAAACTTAAAAGAATACTTTTAAACATGCTTGCATGCATCTTTTCAAACCATTTAGAGTATTCTTTATTCTTTCTGAATAAACAATCTAATGTGTGTTATAGCTCTTTGATCATTGTCTTGCACCGGATACTCTCGGCGATGGGACGGGCTGCGATAACATGACTGCCGTAATAGTTAAATTTACATCACCGGCAACCGAAACTGTTAAAAATAATACCGTTGCTGAGGTATGCGTTACAAAGAAGCGATCGGTTTCGCCAACTGCTGAGGAAAACAACGAGTGTATCCCGGGAGAAAACACAGTAAATCCCTGTAAACGCGCTAAAACTGAGGCAGCTATGTGAATTAGGAGTCACCACGCGTCATGAACTGATCTCCGGGAGCGGACGAATGAATGTGAGTTTATGTAAAATTATATAACAACTTTATATTGTTGTGTAGAACTGGAACCAATTGGTTATACAGTAACAAGCACATGAAATAGTGTGTAAGGTGTGTTATTCGTCGCTGCTAACAGACTGCTAGATTGGAGCACGTGGGAATGATATAACTTAGTTTTGTTAATAACGCATATGAATAATTTCTCGATCACAATAAAATAAATAACGCATATGAAGAGAAATTTCTCTTTTAAGATCATATCCTGTGCATATATTTTTATTGTCACATAATGTCGTTAAATACAATTTGTTTAATATTGAACTTTATTTTATTATTGAGAAATATATATATGTATAAAATTCAACATCCGGGCTAATTTTTTATTTCATTATGTATAATTTGGAATTAATCCTTAGAACTGAGGAATACGATAGAAAAAAAGGGAGGGAAAGAAATTGTGTATGAAATAATAATATAAAACAATTCTGGTCAAAATTATAAATAAAGCTCGTTTATTTCTTTACAAGCATTTATTGACAAAGGTACGATGAATGATACGTACTCTTAGTATAAATGTATAATATAATTTTCTCTTAGTTTTATATAACATAATGTATTATTATAAGTTCTAATATAGTTCTAATGTAGCTCTAACAACCTTTAATATACATAAATTTATTAATTGAGACTAATTTTATATAAATGATACAGTGATACTAACGAGAACATATATACGCAATATTAATTAACAACGATAAGTGAATAACATTAGTGTAAATTAAGAGTTTTATTCAACTTTTCTTTTTTTCTGTTTAACAGATATTTGATACATACATTGTAACTGATATTTTCTCAAATTATAGGAATATAAAAACAAAATTAGAATCGCAGTACATATATAATATTTCGCGATATATACACACACACACATATATATATATATATATATATATATAATATATTTTATTTGAATAAATAAAATTTATATTAAAAAAAGAAAGATATCAGTTTAGTATTTATTAATGTGTCTGTATCACAGTATCATTTATTTCAAACTCTGATTTGTTAAATCTTTATAATCATTATATTCCATGTCTTAATTAATATATTTAAGGTAAATAATTAGATTTTTGTTCATATCATCCCATTTGCTCCAGCTGCACTTACAAAGTATATTCCTTGAGTTTTTAGATTAGTACACATAAATGTATATATTTATAAATGTAGTTTATAGGATTTATATTCGTAAGTCAATACATTTATCTCTTATTTTTACGAAATAGAATTTATTTTTGAATCCCTGGGTATAGTGGTTGAATGGATGGGTGTGCGAATAGTTTTAAGATGTTTAAACTGTATTATGTAATTAAGGCAATTGCGTATAACGCGTTACCAATTTGTGATCTTGTCTTAATAATAACGTTAAAGAAATACAAAAAAAAAGATAAGTACTTGTGTTAAGCTACGTCAAGTGCTGTAGTAGTTTGAAACGATCTGAATTTGGAAATTTGCACATGTCAAAAGTATGTTTTTTGTAAATTTATACAGAGAGTCATATATATACATATATGTATGTATAGAGAGAGAGAGGGAGAGAGAGAGAGATACATCGTAGCTTTGGGAAACCGATAAAGGTGTTTGTCTCACAGAAAGAGGGATTACAATTGTAGGATTGAAAAATGGCGCGATATGTTGTGGCAAACGCATGATGGTTACGGTATTTTGGTAAATTCAGAATACTTATCCTATTGTGTCGCAATGCTGATAGTACTTTGATAAACGGAGTATTCGTGACATCACGACAGTCGCAAAATTCCTTCTGGTATTTGGAGATACGCGAAATATTTGGTATTATATAATAAGTGCAAGATACTTGTAGTATTCCGACAAACGCAAATAGAGGGTAGGGCATATTATATCTGGGAGCAAATCTCCGTTTTTCGTGTAGCTAACGAAAGCAATGGTGTTCGATGGATTTATTGAAATTCAGTTTTCTGCACTAATTAGATAAAGGTATAGTGTATATTTTTGCTCTTAGATCTACTCGTGCCTACGTGTACAAGCTCCTCCACTCGATCTATCTCTACCTACTATGAACACGAGCGAACTGAGAGAGCGCGTGTTAAGCATGGAGACTGTCCTCTGTAAAACTTTGGTCTAAGAAAATAATACTATTGGTTTTATAAATTAATTATCTGATGTGGCGCTAACCGCCAGTACTCGCATACGTCAAGAACTTTTCGGAGTTCACCTTACGATTTATGTATTAACGTACATAAATCGTAAATAGGCAATACTTGAACAAATAAAGACCTACTGTCATATTTTTTACAGTTTAAGACTCTTTCATGTTACATAAAGATTCCTGTTTCGATCGTAATGCAGAAATATCAGAATCTTTGTGTTTCCATTGTAGAGATTCATATAAAACAGTGGTCGCAAAGATTTGCACATTTCGGGCCGATTCCGGCGCGCAACCCCCACCACCGCACGGCCGAGCC